GGCCCACAGATGACCAGGCGCAAGTAGCCAAAGCAGGTCATGTGTGAAAATCTTTCTCTGCCTTCTCTCTGCCTTTCGTGAGCCCAAATTCATCCTCTCTTCCCGACCTCCCCTCCTCCCTTCCGCCCTACTACGCTCCCTCTCTTCTTCGTTACCTCTCACTTTCAATTTCTTCTGACCTTCTCATCCCCCCCTACCTTTCATGTACACCTTCCCTCCCTCATCCTCAAAATACCTCCTTTATAACCATCTCTCTCTCATATAGTTTTCTCCCTACTACTTCATTACACAGGAAGATGAGCCTCAGACCCTCGTCATGATCGCGTCCTCTTACTTCAAAGTATCTACGATCCTCCACTCAACAGTCATCATTCGGTAGACGTCCTCTCTCGGCAGACGCAAACCCAAGAACCGAAGAGAAGCAAAGTACATACGTACACCGTGCAAACAAAGCCAGCGTACATTTACACTGCACTTTGGTTAAACTTGTCACATGAGACAAACATCTCGTGCAACTTAGGATTGTCCATGCAACAATAGGAAGATGTAGAAGACAAACAACCCAACATACTGTAACTAGAGAACCATGAATGTTGCAAGAGACAAAAGTTGCACGTTAATTTTGTGGCACAGATTCTTGTACATATATGTGCCAGTATGTGCAGTGCATATGTATGTGTACTGTATGTGGACAACATGCTAGTCTAATGTTTTGTTGGATATCCCTAGGCAACCGACATGTATGAAGCTACATAGGTACTAGGGGATATTGTCAGCCTATACAATCCTACATGTGCAAGCAGGGTTCATACATGTCGTTTTCCTAGGGATATCCAACAAATCTGTTGCAGTACCCAGACAGGACAGCATGAGCCCTGTACTGCAACATATAATATGTACAATGTCATGCAGACTAAGCTAAAGTGAGGTAACAAAAGAACCTTGGCTTCAAAAACTATCCCTTTGTATGACACACCGCCCGAAATAATATACACTGTAGAATAGTCAGCCTATGTATATATTATGGTTACACTACAAAAGAGCTTATTGTATCTGCTAGTTAAAGTTGCAGGTGGTGACAAAGTGATCTGTAATACGAGAAGGTGGGAGATGGGGTGTGGGCTTGTAGATCAGGGTCCCCTATATAAACCAATTACTGCGGGAATTCTCTTTGATTAAGGAAATTAAACTCCCTAGCAACCAGTCCCTGATGCACCACATCTATGGAAGTGTAAACCACAGTCTTGTGCATCTTTACCACACTGACCGTAATGGGTTGGCACTGGTGTCTGAGCCTCGATCTGAGCTAAGTATAGTGCATGTGGTGGTACCTGCATGTGTCAGCACACACCCACAGCTCCCTATAGTCCACACGTGTATCGCATTGACCTTTGAATAGGTGTACTATATTTTGCCTATAGAGCAGAGTGTTGTGGGTTTGAGTCCCACCCAGGGCAGCTCTTTACTCGAGTGCTATTGAGTTGTCGGCTTTGCACTCACCTTGCTATCATACCTCGCTAATGGTTCATGAATGTATACACAGACTACATGTATATGGTCAGTCTGCCTTAATTAATCACCTCCTTGATCCAACATCCGCTGCATTACTGTACTTTTGAGTCAGACATGTGCAATTTGTACACCTGACACTTGACACCATTCAAATTTCAAAACGGTACAACTCGGTGTACAAAAACTTCATGTCACTGCGGTATGTATAAGACGTGCCCCAGGGGAACGCAATGCAGCTGTTACTGGTCATAGGTGGACCAGGCATTGCCCTAATTAAATTGGGGTTTCCATTTCAAAAGCTATGTACAAGTATGGCATTGAGATGATTGAATAAGTCAATTATCAGCTGTCAAGGGCAGAGAGTATGTACGTAGAGGCAAACATGGAAGTTCGAAAAACAGTGAATAAGGTTCACTAACCAGCAAGTACATGAGTCGTAAGCGCATTTCAACGTTTACATGGAATGTCTGATAAACTGCATAATTAGCAGATGACTAGGTACACGTCACTCGCCAACAGAGGCTGTAAATTTTACGTGTTTTGCCTCAATTTTGGTCCATTGTATTCACCAGCACTGTATGTGCTCCAAAACTCGTACTTGCACATAGTTTCCTACGCAAACTTTAGGTAGTATATAACACCCTAAATGAACCAGTAAAAGTTTACACATGAGATGTCATTCACTTTTCTCTACTACGTACAGGTACAGCTTCGTTTCAGCCATTTCATAACTCTGATCCGGCTGCTCCCCCACCATCTTACCAACCATCCTACACTTCTTCTCTGTTTCCTTTCTCTCGCCAACCTTCCCTCCCTCCCTCCTACCCTCCCTCTTATCCTCCCTCTCTTCCTCCTTCCGTTTCTCCCTCTCTTCCCCCTTCTGTTTCTCCCTCTCTTCCCCCTTCTGTTTCTCCCTCTCCCTCTCCCCTTCCCTCTCTTCCCTCCACCTCTAATCCTTCGCCCCATCCTCCTCACCGCCACTGATTCTCCCTCTCCAACGTATGAAATGCGTACACTTACCGACACTACTGAAAACCTACCCGAAGACAACAATACAACATATGATACACCACAAGATTGCGAAGAGGTAATTTCCATAAAGAGAGCAAGTGTATCATTTTTACAACTCCATCCAGGGCAGCGCTCTTTCTTCTTGTTTTCCTACACGTCATTGAGCTTTTAACCTACAGCCTTTGCTTACTTGTGTACCTTCACCTATGATGCGTCCCAGTGGCGGATCCGGCAGATCCAGGGGGTTCCTTGGGTTCTGCGGAACCCTCGTTCTTATCGTTTTGCGCGCATGCGCCACTGCGTCCCCCCTAAACAATTAACACCACCCGGACCAATAAAGAGAAAAGCACTGTGTTTGCTGGTGGGACTCAAACCCAAAACATATCTGCTGCCTCAAATGGCCCACACGATCACAATAGCTTCCCATATTACAATGTTTGTGGTCATTCCTGCCCAACACCGCAGTGCACCATAGAGACAACACATCACTGCACTGAACGAACACACACACACACACACACAAACATATTAGCAGTTAACGCTGTACGTACGTATGTACACATTGAATACTGTATGGATTCACATTATGCTGCCACACATTCAATAAGGGGAGACGTTGAGCTAACTTGAAAGCTCACCCTTCTGGTCCGATTACAATGTTGCTACTACAGCAAACCTCTAAAATGACTACCAGTTAGAACTGGACAGTATATCGTGAGCCACTATGCCTGTCACTCTATATGGTGCCGATGCTCTACTTGTTTCAATGACCACACACAAGTTCTTAGATGTACACATTATGCCCTATAGGTTTAAGTGCATATCATTTGTATGCAGAGTATGCCTGTGTGTGTGTGTGTCTGTGCAACGTAATATGCCTGTAGGATTGAGTGGGTAGGCTTGAAACCTACTTACTGCACTATTGTAGCTCACTTTTGTCGTTCATGTTGTATATATGCACCTGTGTTAGACCAATTACTCGAAGATGCACCCATAAAGGCCACACAGGAGTGAGTCAGTACGCTCACAGTAAATTAGACGAATCTTCAAAGACTTCACTGTAACTTGAGACGAGGGCCCTTACAGCTACTTAATGTCATATGCGGAATGACGCAAGTGTCCATGCTTGCATGTACACACATGTTGCCTGACCTGCACACACGCTTTGAGCGATAACTGTACAGTCAATTTGGGTAATAACACTTCTGAAGCAGCGATACACTATAGAAACACTGACTTAATTATGTACTTACTGCTGTAGAAGTATGTACAAATCACTTCTTACGGACAATGTTTTTCTGCTGGTGCTATCATTACACATGGCCCAACTTTCGAGACAAAAGCCTCCATGTGTGGGTATGATTGATAGTTGAGACGAGATAGGCAGCACTTCTATTTTCATGCAGCTTTAGCACCCATCACAGCCTACATTGTTGCATGAGAGTTGTCAACATTGCACCGTGTACATGCCGTTGTGTTGGCCTTTAGAATAGAAAATGTTGCTGCATTATGCATGTCTCAATAACTTGGTAACGAGGTAGAAAGCAAGCCAAGGCAAACAAGTCAACTACACTCAGGACATGTAGATTACATGTAGATGTTGAGGGTATTTCTGGAAGGATTTTGTGTCCACACACCTGGATCACATTGCAGCAGTATCACGTTTAAAATTGGCTATACAATTGCAGAACTGGAAAGAACAACCAATCCAAACCCAAAATTGTGGGTCCTCTCGAGTTCTCAACCACAATCATAAAAGGTGGCACCTAACGTAGGTCGTAGAAGTGAAAAAAGTTTAAAACTCTTGGTGTGCACATAGAAAATTTCAAAGTTGGCTCAAGCACTGTACATTAGGGGTTTACGTATGGTGTTGCATTATGCATACATATTGATCTCGAGGGTATTTCTGGTCGGATTTTGTGTACCCGCACACCTGGATCACATGACAGGTTGCGGGCAGTATCACATTCAAATTGGGTATACCGTTGCACAAGGCATGCTCTACTTCTGTCCTGATGCCAAGGTGTAAAAGATCTAGGTGGCACTACTCAGCAAGGCATTCTACACTAGCCAGTTTCGTGCACAAACAACCTTTGAGTGAAACGTGATGCTATATAGCTGCAAAGGCTCCAAGAAATCCAACCAGACTTATATAAGTATAACCCACACTAACTTCATAAAGGGGCCCCCAGGTGAATCAAAATTAAGTAGTCATTCACATTCTCCTAAAACTTTCTTGTCAGAAAATCTAACCGCCACTACGCTATGCCAGTCTTCAGCACGGCACGAGTACAATGCATAAGACTGTAGGACATGCTTCAGTAGGTAATAGAAATGAACATTTCCGTTTGTGCGCAATACATATGATACAACTTACCAGCTGGTATGAAAGGCTACATCTATCGCTCAAGTGGCCAAAACACCTGGGCTTTCAAGTATTTTGTACATAATTGGGATAGTACACATTGTCTTCTGCCATGCATAAAGTTTACATTATGTGTCTAAGGGGACATGAAAGCTGTATTTAACAGCTGGTACATGTACCTCAAGTCACTAAACTAAGTCTGGGCTATTATGACCACATAGCAGGTTTGGACATATCGTTCCTTTTTTTCTAGCTAATGATCATCAGCATGGTGGTTTAGTTGCAAGGGTTCCAATGGTGTTAGTGGAAGAAGTCACGACCATTTTTCGAAGGCCCAGGTGAAGGTAAAATAGACTGTAATTGTTTCGAGGGCATGGAATTAAGCGGAACTACAAGTATTTCTAGTAGCAACACACCGAGTGTTTTCGAGTGGTAATTTCTTGGCTTACAAGTCTGCCGACTAGACAACAATAGAATTCTTGTTCATGGCCGAATTACCACTAATGATATTCATTAGTCTGAAGGCCACATCTCATTAACCTCATCACTCACCTCACTTGGCTTGTCAACACATTCTAATTAGTGGGCTATGCTGAGCCACACTTACATACCAAATCTCAATTTGTGTAGCCTTCATCAAGCAGAGTGGCAGCAAAATTGTCAGCCATGGGTCTTACTGAGACTCTAGACTATCACAGTCAGGATGAAGATTCCAGTGATGGTTAGCATGTCACATTACCTCTTCCACCACCCGCCTGCCTCTTCTCTCTCTTTCTTCTTTACTGCTTCCTTCCACCTGTATTCCTTCCCCACTCCATCCTTTTTTCTCACCCCTCTCTCTTTCTCTAGCTCTTTCTTTCTTCGCCCCCCTATCCCTCTCGCCAACGTACTTTTCTAAGGTATATGATACTTGGGTTGGGTTCCATTGTCCTGTCGCGCCATGCCGCATTGTGTTGTGCAGCGAAGCCTCGTGATGCGTCAATGTGGCGGGGTGACAGGGTAATGCGATGAATTGTAAACCTAAGCTCTAAAGTCTCATGCAACAACAAAGTTGCACCGAGTACCCTTTACCCTCCCCTCGTCCACCATTTCTGTTTACAAGAAAACGAAGAAGAAGAAGAGGAGGAAGAGGAGGAGAGGGAAGACAAGGAAGAAGAGCCCATGGTCGACCTGCCACAGGTGGTACCATTCAGTAGTGCTGATGAGGAAAGTATAACTGGCAGAGTGGCACCTGCTGCAACTGTGGACGACACTACACCGACAAAGGTAAATATAATCATCAGGGTCTTGGTATAATAATAATAGAGTACAGTAAGGTGGCGCTTAATGACGGAATAGTTCCCCTCTCTTTCATAGCCAATTCGCCCCCCACCTTTCCCATTCCAATAAGGGTTTGAACAGGATTCATTTCTCTAGACGAAAATGACAAACCGACCATTTGGAAGGTGGAATAGCAACATTGCCTCTCCCTTTTACCCCATCTCCCCTTTACTTCTTCAGGGTTTGAAAGGTTTTGCATTTGTTGCAGAGACGTGAGTAAATGAAATGACAAACTAACCATTCCTAGTAGCATAACTAGAGTTGGAGGGTGGAATAGCAACACTACCCCCTCTCAGTGTATGCTTCCAGTTTTCATCAGTGGTATTCTATACACAGGGGATCAAACCAAAGCACATTGATGTAGGGAATCTGAAAGATTTTGTGATGAGGTAAGACTATAGTGTACAGTGTCCCATCCCTGTGCTTTTTTCTGGTCTTGTGCAGGAAAATAATACATTTGAAGCGCATGTGTCGAGGTGCGCGGATGTAGAGAGTGGGGTGGGGTAGGGGGACGCAAGCCTCAACACAATGTATTGTAAATACATAATGCTCCAAGCACAAAACATGACCATAAGGCTCTTCCTCTTCTCATAATTCAATTTGGGGAGTTCTATTAGTGTAAATGCAGGGTTGCCATGCACATACGTAAGTAGAGAGACCAATTTCTTCAATTAACTCGCATTACATTGGGTGCCCACTATGATAAGGATGATTTAAACAATTACCCCATGCATTGTGCTCATAACAAAGAGTGGACACGTATACATTCCCACAGGCCAGCTCCGGAGGGAGTGGCAGTGAAATGCCGGGTCTCTAGAGACAAGAGAGGAATGGACAAGACGATGTACCCAACCTATTTACTTCACCTTGAGCAGGAAGACACCGGCGAAAAGGTTTGTATATAGTGGACATTATTATCAAGGGCGGATATTTCGGTGTATTCAGTAACTTTGGTATAAAAAATTATGGAGTCATCATAAATGGTTCCTGAAAATCTCTAACTCTCTAAACGAAAGTGCACCACACAAAATGCACAGTGAGGTCTTTCAAGGGAGAAGAATTGCTAGTGTATCAGTGCATAGTTTGTGGTCAACCTACCTATGTTTCCCCAGGTCTTCTTGCTTGCAGCAAGAAAGAGAAAGAAAAGTCGATCTTCTAACTACCTTCTCTCAACCAACCAAACTGACCTCTCGCGAGGAGGAGACAATTATGTGGCCAAGCTAAGGTTTGACCTTGTACAAAACTTTGCAATACAAAGTTTAAATAACTGTTTGTGGACATTCTAATTATTCAGTGCACTATAATAATAGTTAGACACACATGAATTTTCAGCAATTGGTAAGTTAACACTTAGCTAACATTAGTAAAAAATTTCAGCGGTTACACACACATGTAAATAAGTATGTATGTATACCTTGTTACCAAGTTGTTGAGCCATGTATGTATGTATGTACGGTGCCACCAATAGTCTAGGTGTACCTCAGAGTTTTGAAGACAAGGAACACATTTCCCTATATCCAAATGAACATGAGTACGTATTGTTTTCAGGTCTAACTTCCTAGGAACATCTTTCACTGTGTACGATGATGGAATAAACCCCAGCAAGAGACAATCGAGACTGAACCGTTCTGCCACCAGAGAAGAAATGGCTCTTGTCCACTATGTACGCACAAATGCTAAAACCACCCGCAGCAATGCATTGTCTGAAATGTCCTTGTTTCATTCAACACAATGCAAACGCAAAATCTAAGGCCAAATGTATGCAGATTTTGCCAGCCCTGCCTGCTTAGGTGCCCAGGTAGCCCAGTAGGAAGACAAAATTCCAGTCACATGATTAATTTTTATACTTGGCCTTCCCAAAGCAGCTAAAGGTGTTAGCCTAGGTGTCTATATTTGCCTTGCTTTGACACTTCATGATTTCACCTGCAAGCTTACTCACACTTACTGATCAGGACACTAATGTGCTGGGATTCAAGGGACCTCGGAAAATGAAAGTGGTTATCCCAGCCATGTCTACTGACAAAGAGAGACTATCTGTCAAACCTAGAAAGGTAAGTTGCACTGCACACTTCAGCTATAGTCAATGTGTTCAGTTGGGTTGGCCGACTTTTCCTTTCCTTCACTCGCTTGAAAAAGTACGAAAAGTTTAGGCCATCTGATTCATTTGTCAAACCTAGGAAAGTAAGTTACACTGCGCGCTTCAGCTATAGTCAGTGTATTCAGTATGGTTTTCTGGCCTGTCCTCTCCCTCGCTTGCTAGAAAAAAGTACGAAAAGTTTAGGCCGCCAAGTAATGACTCACTCTCCACCTATAGTTAAGGGTTAATAGAGTTTTGAAGGGAACCCATGGCAAAGACTTAGTATTCTGTGAGACAGAAATGAAGTGCTTTAGGCTAAGTTCACGATATGTCGCATTGCCCCATCGCCCCGTGCTGTATCTCATGGTACCGCGAAGATTGATTCCATCCTCATGATTCGGCAAAGCGACAAGGCGTGACGGGACAATGTGACATATTGTGAACCTAGCCTTATACCTACCACAGACTGTGACTTCTTTCTCTCTTTGGTAATTATTAGGATAGTGAGACATTACTGGAGAGGTGGAAGAATGGACAAATGACTGACCTTCTAGAGGTGCACAACAAGCAGCCAACATGGTCGGAAGGTAAGATGTATTATAGTCTCGTACCTGAAGCCAAGCCTCAAGAGAGGAATAAGTTCTGGTGACAAATTGAGCCATTTCTGGGAAAGAAAGAAGCTCCGTGACCGCTGCGTACTCGCAAGCGTATCCAAACTTAACTTACCTGTGGTACAGAGGCAGCTCAACCAAGAAACAGTCAAATATCACCAGACCCTTTTCATTTTTTGAGAGCGTGGTCTGGGTACTAGAAAAAGTATTGCATCATAAGTATAATAATTATATAGCAGATACCAAAGCTATCTTACATGTATTTACACAGAGACACAAGCCTATGTGTTGAATTTTCATGGAAGAGTGACACAGGCATCGGTGAAAAACTTTCAACTTGTTCATTCAGCTGATGGTGAGAACATTGGGTACTAGCTACCATGAAATTACCAGTCTAAACTTGTACTGGAACTTTTTGTTTCATCTGCAGAAGGCTACATTGTGGTGCAGTTTGGGCGTGTGTCAGAGGATGTCTTCACACTTGACTACAAGTACCCTGTGTGTGCAGTCCAGGCCTTTGCCATTGCACTCAGCAGTTTTGACTCAAAACTGGCTTGCGAATGATTTTTCCATCTTTGAAAAAAAGAAATTTTCGCTGTGCGTGGGCGCGTATCTCCGCGCGCGCGCGTATACGCCGGGACTACTGCGCACGCGCGTAATTATCGCGCGTGATCGATCACGCTCCCAGCGCGGCCTTTCACGCTTCTAGGTCCAAACAATGTTGGAGAAGCTCAGCTGGCATTGGCTCTTGCACGCGGAGATACAAGTCCGTAAGGCCGATAATAGTGCCATGGTAATGCGTTAAAAGTCAGTGTTGTTGGCAACTAGCCTCTCGGAACCCAGGCCTCAAAAACGCGTGAGCATGCGCGGAATATATAATTGTGCGTGGGCGCGGCGGCGATGCTATCCGCCGCCGCGCCGCCGCCGCCTAGCCTCTGGCGCGGAAATCACGAGCATGCGCACAATACTTTCAAGCCACGTGTGTCTCCTCTGTGGTTGCCAGGGCCAGGCTCGTTCAGAATGGGCCTTCCTGATTGCGCAGCAACTCTGTCCAGCTGTGCAGGGTAAATTCAGAATAAGATCATATGTGGTCTAAAGCTTCCTGCTCAGAGTATCTTCCACAGAAACCCACTTCTGATGTGTGGCTGTCTATGCATGTAAATACACCCAGATTCTTGGCAAAGGCCAAACATATTTGATTAGTGATAGTTGCATTTCCTTGGCAAAGTCAATAATTACAATGTCAGATGTGTTGTACTGCTTTGGCAGAAGGTTTCTTAGATCTAAGCACTGGCATCCATGTGTGGTCCCCAGATAGTAGTAGTCCACTGCAGAGAACCCATTAGCAGAGAAAAGCACAAGGTGTGTCATCATTACAGTGTTATTTCAAAGGCCTTTAAAGAGCAACCCCAAAGCCACTTTAGTGGCAACCTTTTGGCAGAGATGACTGCCAGTACCTTTGGCAGGATCTATGTGAAGTAGGTTAATGGAGAAACACCACAGTCTCCTAGACTATTAGGATAAATCAGCATAAATTAGTACTCTGCACACAGTGGCTACCCAGCACAAAGAGTATATAGTATATATCCAGTTTTGAGGTTGATAGTTGCCATGCACACAGGAAAAGCAGCTACAGACAGGAAGGACACATAAAAGGTGGGTAGAATGTAGTCTCATAATCCACACCTGTCTTCTAGGGTCGTGACATTTCTTGGTTGTGCTGAATCAGCAACCTTGTGATAATATTACATAACCACACGAAAGTTACTCTCTTGAACACACAGCGTGCATGGAGCTTCGTTGTACGTGGTCACATGCTCCACATGACGTTCAGCGATCTGATTGGCTTACCGAAAACTAAGACTGCTGAATCCAGAAATCGCTCAATTGTCACCAGACCCCTTTTCTCTTTAGAGGGCAGGGTCTGGGCAGAGAGCAATGAGGTAAAAGGTGGGCTGCAAACATCAAGCAATAAGTAACAAAACCCAACATTAGCCCCAGCCTCCACATTAATTAACAGCCCACATTTGGGCTGCAATAAGGTGGGAATAGTAAACAGACAGTGATCAAAACCCAACATTAGCCCTGGTCTCCACATCAATTAACAGCCTGCCTTTTGTGGCTGCTGTGTGCAAGGCTGGTCCCCAGTTTACACCATGTATGCACCCATATGTATATACCTTGGCCAACAAGTGCCATCCTTCCACGTTCATGTTTCCATTTTCCAAATTCACCTCCCATTTTTCCGTTTTACATTTTTCACTTCCATTTCGCTCTTCCGTTCTCCGTTTTCCCAGCCTTCTAGATAGCTTGACCAGCGCGGCGCGGACTGCCGTCCTATTTCTAGGCTTAACGGCTTCATATTGCATGCCAGCACGTCGGATATCTGACGGCACCGCTGGATGTGACCTAGCTACACTGGTCTCGCTACCCAGACCTCTGCAGGGTCTGGCCGCACGCTTTAGTTCACAGTCGCCACACCCCACCCGGACCCCCCTGGTCGGTAAAATGTCGTCGAGGAAGGTTAGCGACGCAATCATGCCCGCAGTATTTCCAGCCGCACCGGCAACCCCAAAGCTCGGCGCATGCCTTTTTCTGTGTGCGTCCATTATCCACATGAGCCGTAGCATCATCCGATGATGGCGAACAGAAAGTGGAGGTATAAAATGGAAAATGGGAGATGAATTTGGAAAATGGAAACACGAAATGGAAATTGGAAGGATGGCACTTGTCGGCCACCATACATATGGACACACTATTTGACTTCACCTGAGCCCTTGGGAAATTATCAACTCCTTAATTTTACTAAAAACTCCGACACCATTGGAGTCCTGGTAACTTTCCAGTCTGAACTCAACAACTACCACTTCCAGGGCTCAGGTGAACACAATAGATAATCTCAGAGCAAAACAGTACTAATTACTTCCCACTAAACTAAGCTTCACATTAATTAACAGCATGCCTTTGTGCACATTATTGTAGCTGCTGTGATGATTACATCAGGGCTATTTACACAGCACATAGCATGGACACAAGAAGTAGTAGCATTGGTAATCTCAGAGGAACTAATGAGGTTAGCTATACACTGTGATTACTACTTTCCAGTTAAACAGGCGGCACTAGCTACTTCCAAGGATTGTTTTGTCAGAAATCATACTGAAGCCAGTGGACTATGCCGGTATAAACATGTCAAAGGGCTTCCAGTGGAAGTGTTTGTCCTGCATTCCTTGAGCATTAGCCTATATACTACCTACTAGAGCATCCTGATCTGTGATACACAGTATGTGCATCACATCGGCGGCATCGTACTTCATGAGGATTGTCATACATAGGGCGATGTTATCTAGTGACTCACTTGGCACAGTCTGAAGAATGGAAACTGACTCACCTACGCTTGGGGAATTATGCTAGCTAGCGTCTTGAAGTTTGTGGCATAACTGTCTATGGGTGATCTACACATTTTATCTTATTGAGAGGGAAAGTTCAGCACACTTAGATTTAACAGAGGTTCTGATTATAAGGTGAACACGTGGCTGAAGATACAAAAAAATAGCTATAGATGTGGATTATAAATTTGCCAAGCTCTTAGTCTGGTCTAAGTCAACTCATACAATAGTGACCATACAAGTCTCTTGGGATTGCCTAAGGCAGCATTACATTCTGTTACAAAGGCTAGTGCCAAATTGGGCAGCAATAAGCGAGGATTGAAGTCCTAAAAACATAATATTAAAGGTAGTCAGGGCTTTGGTTGTGGTTTACTTCCACCCTGAAACCCCAAGAGTGGCAGGATGCACTAAGTGTCTATTACTACTGAGAACATTCCATGTTATTTCCTCTCTTTGCGTCTCACTTCCTCATTCACTTGCTCAGTCTATGAAGGTGGAGAGTAGATACATAACTGCCTGCCTGCATGCAGAGAACTTTGTACATGGCCCCCTTCAGGTGAAAAAATTCTCACTGTAACAGGCCCGTTAAAAATACTTAAATGCCTGGTATCGGCACACACAGTCACTGATACGAAAAATTTGGCAACTTTGCCAACAAGATTGCATTCAGCAAAATTAAAAGTTTGAAAGATTGAATTTTTTGAGGTATGCACACCTTCTCTGTGCCAATTTATTTAAATGGGTTTCCAAACATCTTGCCAAACCCCAGAGTTTTTACTAATTAACAGAGAACAGAATATAGTAGCTATGGACAGTTCAATAAAGGTCGCTATATTGACAAACAACAGAGGATGACGGCGTATATACCAGGATGCACGTCCACCGCATACCGTCCTCGCCAACATTCCACAGGGCGGCCGGTGCCTTTTCAGAGCATGCGCAAAAAGAACACTGCCTACGCGTATAAAAGGGCGCGAAGAGAGCCCCCAGCTCCACAGCACGCCAAAAAACTTCGCTGCACATCACTTAAAATGTGGAAAGCTACTCTGTTTTCGCTTGCCGCTCTGCTAAGCATCGTTCACGGTAGGAGGTGGTGAAATACTGTTACACTGCAGTTGTCCATTCGCTCGTGTTGTCCTTCCTTCCAGGCTATCACCCGTCCAACCCGAGGCTGGGTGTAGCATCGTGGGACCGAATGCTATCGAAGATAATGGTGAGCGGTACCAACAAAGGAACATGTGGAGATCATTGCTTCGTAACTCTGAATGGAGAGACGAAGGTTTTTCCAATCGACGTCAGCGTCGTTTTTACGAGCAAACCCTGCACTTCGTTCATATGCACGGTAAAAAGCAGGACATCTCCAGCCCTGCATGAAATTGTGTCTAATCTTGCAATGGTTACTTTTTCCAGAAAGATGTTGTACAAGAGATACAGATTACCTGCCCAAAGGTTGACTGCAACGGAGCTATACCATACAGAGACCCAAACTCTTGCTGCAATCGATGCCGTAAGTATAGCAGCTATACCTACCACAGCTAGCTAACGGTTATTGACGATAGTGCTTCTTTTCCTATAAAGCCGGAGGACCGGATATTGAGGTGGAGTTTGAGGAGTGGATGGAGTGGACTGAGTGCAGTACAACATGCGGGGCTGGTTCAAGAGCCAGGAGAAGGACATGCAAGATCACTGATCAAGATACCGTGGCAGAATGCTCTGGGCGTTTACTTGAGACAGAATCTTGCACTCTAGGCCCTTGTCCAGGTAATCAGTATAGCCTGAAAATTTTATCAGTGTGTTTCAAGCAATGCTCTCCCCCACAGTTGATTGTGAGTGGAAGTATGGGGAGTTTGAGACGTGCAGTAGATCTTGTGGAGCTGGACAGATGAGCCGATTCCCCATTATTACACAGCACCCAATGAATGGTGGAGAGCCGTGCCCACCATTTGTTGTGTCTGGACAACCTGATGTGCAACCTTGCAATCTTCGCGAATGTCCTGGTAAATAATACCCTACCATAAAGAGCCCTGGTAGCTTTATGTAGCCACTACTTGCCACAGCCAGCTGCTTCCACACCACTGAGTACACAAACTTCCTGTTTGCCTAACTTCCTTTTTGGTCATTGCATACCATAGTGTGTTCTTTTTGTTGTATTATAGTGGACTGTGATTGGGAGTACGAACAGTTTGGACAGTGCAGTGTAAGCTGTGGAAATGGAATAAAGCGTCAGTTCCCAGTCATCACTATACAACCAAAACATGGTGGCGCACCATGTCCAGACAGTGTGATAGATAGGGTGCCTAACATCGAACCATGCGATGCTGGTCCATGTCCTGGTAAGTGAACGGGCTCTATATTATTTTCCATGCATGCAAGGTAATGGGTGTATTTATCTGCAGAGGATTGCGAATGGGAGTATGAAGAATTTGGAGATTGCAGTGTCACTTGTGGGGGCGGAATAAAACACCAGTTCCCACTTATCATACGACAGGCAACAAATGGTGGAGTGGACTGTCCAGCTTTCGTCCACAGAGGCGATCCAAATACCATGAACTGCAACACTCAACCTTGCCCAGGTAATACACACAGTATGGCTGTGTAAGCATGGTTGCCTCCATAATGTATATACACAGTATGGCTGTGTATGCATGGTTACCTCCATAATGTGTATACACATTATGGAGTAAGCATGGTTGCCTCCATAATGTATATACACAGTATGGCTGTGTAAGCATGGTTACCTCCATAATGTATATACACAGTATGGCATGGTTGCCTCCATAATGTATATACACAGTATGGCTGTGTAAGCATGGTTGCCTCCATAATGTATATACACAGTACGGCTGTGTAAGCATGGTTGCCTTCACAATAATTCTGCTGTTTATAATGCTATTGTTGAACTTTACAGTTGACTGTGAATGGGAGTATGAACAATTTGGAGAGTGCAGCAAAAGTTGTGGGGAGGGGATAAAGACGAGATACCCAAGAATCACAGTTCAACCTCAGCATGGTGGGCAAGATTGCCCGCTCTTTGTTCAAAACCAGGAACCCGACACAACGACCTGCAATAACAGTCCCTGCCCAGGTTTGAACCAAATGTATAGCGCATGTGATACTGTCAAGACTTACAAAAGTCTTCTGAGGCATGTTCTGCTCACTTTGTGCTCTAAGACATATTCTTGGGTTTGGTGTGATCGCAGTACACACTCATCAACCTTGATTATGTCTTATAATTATTCTTTGCAGTGCATTGTGAGTGGAAGTATGGTGAATATGGGGAGTGCAGCAAGACATGTGGCGGAGGCACTAAGACACGATTCCCAGTGATCATCACGCAACCACAACATGGAGGGAGGGCGTGTCCAGCACATGTGATAGACGGGGAGCCTGATTCAACCAGCTGCAACCCTCTGGAGTGCCCAAGTGAGTCGGAGCCTTACAACACGCTATATATACATGTATACCTTTACTTGTCACTATCTCCAGTCGTATGTGGTCCTGGTCAGACTGGTTGTCCAAATGAAGCAGGAGAACTGGTGTGCATTGATGACAAAGATGGAGATTGCATTCCTGATACTCAGGTGATTATTCTCCACAACTTTAATAATACGCTAGGTAGCTGCACAAACATTAATATCTGGGGGCAGGGAAAAATAACGAAGTGAGATGTATATATACTACTGGTTATGATATTATTCAGGACAATTGTGAAGAAGTGTTTAACCCTGATCAAAGTGACATGGATCGCGATGGTGTGGGTGGTGCTTGTGATAACTGTCTCCAGTTATATAACCCTGATCAAACGAACTCCGACAATGATGAGACTGGTAATGAGTGTGATCCAGACGATGACAATGACGGCATTGGTAGGTCCTTTCAATTAGTAAGAGTATTATACAACATACTCCAATTTCTTTTATTCCAGTTGACCAGTACGATAACTGCCAAACTGTTGTCAATCGTGATCAAAAGGATAGTGATCGAGATAGGTTTGGAGATGCCTGTGACAACTGCAAGAGTAGATCAAATGCAAACCAGGCTGACTTTGATGGAGATCGCGTGGGGAATGCATGCGACAACTGCCGCTTCTACCCTAATCCCAACCAGCTGAGCAGTGACCCAAGTACGTATGGAAGCTTATGTACAACAAGGCCTTCCAATGTCGACATGATGGGCATGGAAGATGAAAATGAGGATATGGACAAGAAAAACATGGCGGCCCAGATAATGGAGAAGCTGCTGGAAATGTACTACAGCAGCTAAACAGTTGACTAACAGTCACTTCATTTGACATTTGACCAAGTAGAGCTGTTTGAGGAGTGCTAGTTGTAGCTATTTCCCATTGTTGCATTCTTCATTCTTGGACCAATTTGCTACGCATCCACGTGACACGCGCAGACGGAAAAAAGCGGTCCGCGCACCTTCTAGACCTGAAGGTCATCCAGCGCTGAGGGTCTCCTATATAAACAACTATAATATATAGCCTCGGTCTCTCCTCCCCGCGTAAAAACTACTTCGCCCCATGACGTATAAGACCCTCCGCTTCAGTTCAGAGACTGTGTGATCTTTCGTTCTACATCGGAAGCCCGCCGCTTTGTCGGCCTGTGCATTGGCATTCTGCGCGGTGATGACCTGCGTATATACTGCCATACGAGTTCCATTGCGCGGAGCTATGGCATGCAAACCCGTGCGCAGGCGCGTCAATATATAGCGTAGCTCCTGCTCGTCGCTCATAACTTTTCAAATGCCCGCTGATTATACGCGATCTCCTAAGGGCACAATACAAGGCCATTGCATATGTGGAGTTGGGTGGGGCGCTGTACACTCCGGCGATGGGACGTATATGTGCGCATGCGTAACACAATAACGACGACCAGATCCCCGTGCAGGTATGTACATGGCTCGACTAACAGTATCTAGGCTTCTGGGAAAGAATGCCGGCAACAACAACTGTTCTAGCAACCACGTGAAGTTCGAGCCAAATATGTGGTAGCTATCCCACCATCCCACTCTTCCTCCCACAGAGGGCTAGTCTTTGTACGCTCCACTGGAATCTGGCAGCACACACCGACGCCTAATTGGAGCGTAGACTACTAGCTATACATAGCTATATACCTCGTCCGTGGATGGTCTTGCATAAAAGAAACGCCAGCCATTAGCTTCCTTTCCCACTAAAAGCTCATACATCATCTAATGCTATGAGGAAGTAGTCATCATCACACAAGAAACATTTTGCCAGCCGCGGCCTTCTGGACCCGATTACGCACGCGCGATATCGATCACGCCGACTGCCTATAAAAGCCGACAGCGCCAGCCGCCTCACTAACGTGACTACAACACGGGAAAGATGTGGAAGCTTGCTCTAATCTCGCTGGCAGTTGTGCTCAGCACTGTGCAAGGTATACATAGCTTGCTACGTATTTCAATGCTAGCTGTGCAAATTGAGTGCAGGTCATAATCTGGGGGTCCAATCATGGAATCGAATGCTGGCAGAAATTATGCAAACTGCTAAAAGTGGTACTTGTGAAGCAGGTGCATGCTTTGTGAGGACTGAAGATAATGGGATTATCGGATTGAAAACTGGTGATGACTACATTGAAGGGTGCACCGTCTACAGATGCACGGTAAGGTCAATTTTCTTGTCAATTCACTCCTGGATGATGCTTTCTAACAAACACAGCAAGCACGGGTAGAGGTAATAACCATAAATTGCCCTGAAAACATAGTTTGTGCAGATAATCAAAAGACGATCATGTACCCAGGGGGTTGCTGCGTACAATGCGGTAAGTATTATACAGCCGCTCCAACCATCACTATTATAATATTGTTACTTTTAATAAGAGGCACAAAAGACTGACATTGGTGTATTTACCGAGTGGGAAGAATGGACACAATGCACGGCCACGTGTGGGGGAGGACGGAGAGCTCGGAAGAGAGAGTGCATAATTGACGTCAGTGCAGGCAGCGTTGAATGTACTGGCACCTTACTTGAGGCGCAAGACTGCAACACCCAAAAATGCCCAGGTATAATTATATATAGTCACAATGACAGTGAGAGATACACCATCGTTAATTGAAAGGAGATAAGAATTCGACTTCTTACTGGTCTAGTTCCATGTAGGTGGGAGTATGGGGAATATGAAGAGTGCAGTGCAACGTGTGGAGATGGAATAAAGCTACGATTCCCAAAAATCCTACAGCCTCCACAAAACGGAGGTGAACCCTGCCCACCATTTGTTGAAGCTGGAGTCTCCGATGAAGCCCCTTGCAACGTTATCCCATGCGGAGGTATGACAGATTGCTTTTAGCTAATTCTAATAGCAAAGCAATCATGAAAATAATTTCACTGCCTTTTTCCAGTTCCCTGTCAATGGGAATGGGGAGAATATGGTGAATGCAGTAAGAGCTGTGGTGGGGGTATTCATACCCGCTACCCACTAATAATTACGCCAGCACAGCATGGAGGATTTTGCCCACAAAATGTAGTGGACAGAGAGCCTGATACTGCTGAATGCAACACAAACCCTTGTCCTGGTGAATACTATTTGCCGGTACATTATTGTGCATTTTGAGATATTTCGCAGTTTTCTGGTATATATAAATACTATAAAGTTTAGCCTTAGTTGTTAGGCATGTACATATGACAGGCACTGCACATACCGTACTGTCCTATGCGATTATAAATATGCGCAAAGCTTCGCTTACTGGATACACCAGTTCCATGCACGGTAACATGGCAATGGCATGTGGGCAGCAGCTAGCTAGCTGCGAGCAGCAGGGCGGAGTTTAGTGTCGTAGTGGTACAGTGAGCACGTAGTATGAAAAAGAAAATGAATAACATATAAAAGTAGGGAGTTTTAATGAGGGACACAGCGTAATCATATTCTCTCTAGGCTTGTGCAAATTTATACATTTTCCTTGTACAACGTTTTTAACACAGTTCCATGTCAATGGAGGTATGAAGAGTTTGGGGCGTGCACAAAAACATGTGGCGGTGGAACTAAGACTCGATTCCCTGTCATCAGAACACCAGCACAGCATGGGGGTGACTGTCCTCAACACGTTACCAACCGAGTGCCCGATATTGAGACGTGCAACACACAACCTTGCCCAAGTGAGAATGAACATTCAGTAAAGACTGTGAAAGCGCAACATTGTGTATTACAAAAGGTCTTGGTTTTGCACGAGAGAAAGACACGAAAGACGTTCATTTACAAGATCAGAGTTTAGGTTCAAAAAATCGACATGTAAACTATTTTACAAGACACTGAAACATCTAACCGCTCCTGTAATATTTAGCAGATGTGGTAATTTCTGTTGGAAAAACTTTAACCTGCTTTTGGGATGAAGGACTGGTGACGTTGACCAAGGTTACTGCATGTCCTAACAGTTTGTGAAATGAAATGGTGTCGTGCAGGTGTCAGTGACAACAGCTTGCAAAGTATTAGCTACTTCTCATATATTATTCCACATACATTTCCAGTCGCTGTATGTGGTGGTGTGAGCATTATACGTAATATCCAATGTTGACAAGAGTGGGGGGGTGGGGGAATTTGGCTCACTGTACCCAAGCATCTGGAGGGGGGTCATGCATTACAGACACTGTTGCGCAAGTCCTAGCCACTAAAGAGATTCCACGAGGACAACTCCACACTTTTCTTGGAATAGTTTGGCATGGGAAGAGCCCATGCATTTGTCCAACATGACCTCAAAATGCATTAAACTGTATGCTCTGTGTTCAGTATCATCCATGCATCCACTACCTTAGTCCACACAGTCTCCCCAAGACAATGTCAAAACAATGTCCCTCCTTCTGGCAAACGATTCAAGGCACATTGCCAACACAGGGCAGATGTTCAGTAGGACTGTAAATGTACAATCTTTCTCTTACAGTTCCATGCGATTGGGAATGGGGGGAGTATGGTGATTGTACTGTAACATGCGGTGGTGGAACTCAGACCAGAGTTCCCAGGATTATAACACCAGCACAACATGGTGGTCACTGTCCACAACATGTGATCGATGGGGTTCCAGAAACAACAACCTGCAACACTGCCACCTGCCCACGTAAGCCAGCCTTTGTCGAAGCTTATCGTAGTCAAACCTAGTCTCAGCCCCAGACCCTTTCCCTTACGTGCATGCACGGCTAAACCATTGGGGGTGGAGAAAAACCGAGACACAGGATGGGCGACTGGAATGTGAGCATAAGCGTAACTTGCAGCCACCAAGTGCTAATTGCCAAAATTGCAAAAAAGGCAATTAGCACTTGGTGGCTGCAAGTTACGCCTACGCTCACATTCCAGTCGCTGTGTCACGCTTTTTCTCCACCCCCAATGGTTTAGCCGTGCATGCATGTAAAGGAAAGGGTCTGGGGCTGAGACTAGGTTAGGTGCAAAAATAAAAAGTGGGTAGCCGAATGGAGAACAAGGGTTTCTAGCGAGGCTTTCCCCATACTTTTTCTCCACCCTCGGATGTGCGTAAGGGAAAGGGTCTGGGGCCGAGAATAAGTCAAACCTACACCACCTCCTGTGTTTCGTTATCTTTAGCTACTTGCCCTAATCCGGGCGAGAATAACTGCCTGATCAATGGAGTATACAAATGTATACATGATCCAGACAAGGATTGCATTGAAGGGGTGAGAAACACAATGTTATTTATAGCAAGCTTAATGGTCTTATCATTTCAGGACAACTGCGAGTTGGTCTACAATCCAGATCAGAAAGATATGGACAGGGATGGTGTAGGAGATGCGTGTGACAACTGCAAATTCTATTCTAACCCAAACCAGGAGAATTCAGATGATGACGAAACTGGTAATGAATGTGATGCGGATGATGACAATGATGGAGTAGGTAAATAACAATACATACACCCACATATGCTGTGTTGGCACATCCCCATTCTGATGCTGTTATGCAGTTGACCAAAACGACAACTGTCAGACTGTGTCTAACATGAACCAGGTGAACAGTGATAGAGATAACTTTGGGGATGCTTGTGACAACTGCCCTCGAACGGTCAACAACAACCAAGCAGACGTAGACAAGGACGGTGTTGGAAACGCCTGCGACAATTGCCGCTTCTACAAAAATCCAGAGCAGAATCCATCTGATCCTGTCACGCATGGGGCAAGATGTACCACGAGACCTCAAAGACCTATCGGAATGGAGGAATACGAAGATGAAGATGACAACATGAAAAGTCTGGCAGCTGACATCCTGGAAAAGCTGATGCAATTTGTACTGGAGTGAGTGAGCTTCTTCGCTCACGAGAGGACTTCAGTATTATAGTAGAAAACACATTAGCCTTGTTAAATAGAAGTATATACCTCGTTTGTTAGCTACAGAGGAACTATTGTCATGAGTGTTGGTAATTATTAGCATGCATACACAGTAAAGTCATGTCCTGTCGGCGTCCCTCAACGCGCATGCGCAATTGTCATCGGCTTTTCTGAGGCAGAAATATGCAATTACACGTAATTGCTACTGACGTCACCACTGGAGTACATTCCTTCACGTCGGCAGGGGGGCGCGTAATGCTACAACGCGCAGCGCAATACGTACCGCTATAAAAGGATATACTGCGCTGCGCGCTCTGTGCAAAAATGCGCATTATTCCCGTAGACTGCGCTCCTGTGAAACGCGCGCGAAGAACGTACTCCGGATGTTGACGTCACGCTACATAGCGCGCGCATACCTAGTACCTCTCGATAAAACGAAAAGGTCTATTGGCATGGCCGACAGGGACGTCGGCGACGGCACAGCAGAGAGCCTGATCCTACCAAAGGAGGACCTCAATGGCTGGCGGAAGAGATGGGAAGAAGGGAGGACTGCTTGGCACAAAACTACTGTTGATCCTGTCCTTGAGGTGTATACAAACCATAGGGCCACACCCTACCCTTTTCCCTCTACCAACTGAAATTGCTTTCACTTCACTCATTCTAATACCAGATCAGTCTTGGTCTAGCCGAAGAGGGTAGGGTACCTCTGTTGTCCCCAAAGACATAATATGAGCATGGTCCATTACTTTGTGCATGGTCTGTGCTGTATTATTGATTATACGTGCCTCTTGTTTATAAATTTGTATGCCATGGAGCGTATCTCATTAACAGAAGAGAATTGGTCTGATTGAAGATGGCTGCGGTGGTGGGCTCTCTATTCTGGTTCCCATGTGTGGCAGGAGCCTCGATCTACTGTGGCTATGCAGTAGAGGTCACTCGGTGACTGGAGTAGAGATCTCTTCTATTGCCGTTGGTGAACTTTTTACGGACAACTCTATTCCTTTCACTTCAATTGGTGTGTTCTCTATACTTCTGTGTAAGCATACAAAGGTGTGGCTCCGCTGTGCCGATACTGAATGTGTGGCTAGCCAGCGATTTTGCGTTGGTTCAAGTCGACCAGTCCACCACACACTGTGCTACTAAAATGGGTAGCAGCTATAAAAAGAGGCAGAAAAACTATTAGAGAAGGGGCATTGATTTCCAGATTACTCCAGGTGGCTCTGGGAAGACATGTGCACATATATATCTCTCTAGGGGCATGTATGTAGCCTACCAATGCGTTTTGTTGCGTCTTACACTTCCCTCCAGAAGGCATAACTATGTATAGGCGCTTTTGCATTTGCGTGTTTGATTCACGTAGCTATAATGTATCTTACTATGATGTATCAATCAATTGTCGGTGAACAAAAAAATCTATTTTATTTCCAGAAAGTGGACCGTTTACTATCTACAAGGCAACCGATCGTGATCTGAATGTTTTGTGTGGAGATGTATTCAACCTTGACACCAGTTATGCTGGTCCCTTTGATGTCATATGGGACTGTAATGCCATTGTTGCTATCAATGCTGATGATAGAGAGCGATATGTGAAAGCCGAACTGTCAGTATTGAAGGAAGGCGGGCGGATTTTGATGACAACTTGGGTATACGAACAGAGCATCCATCTCCGGTTTCCACTTTGTGTGTCCCCCGAGATGGTTGAGAAACTCTTTGCTGCCCAGTGTGACGTGCGTGTTGTTGAGAACATAGTCCTACCTAACGATAGCCATTTCTGTCAGAGGCATGAGCTTCCATGGGCTATACGCCCTGTGCTCTTCTTGAATAGAAAAGAACTGGTACAGTGACCGTCCTATGCTAATAGTGTGTCAAAGTATAATAATTATATTATTGTGCATAAACACTAATATTAAGGTTGATTTAGCATTCATCTGAAGGTGTACTCAGATATTTCTCATCGTCACTCTCATGATAAGTGGACGGGTCATCCTCATCCTCCATTTCATCAATTTTGCCCACTTGGTACCACAACATTCGGCCTTTTTTGCTGTTTGTGCCACCATAAACAGTCAAAACCATTCCTTGATTGTTGATAGACACTGATGGATGCCAATAGGCACTCGACAAAACTTTGTCAACATGTTGTGGCACCTCGTGTTCGCATAGCTTTCTGTTTCGACATTTCTCAATGTTGCCTTCCTCAACGATTTCTCGTGCCCGTGGGTTAACTTTCGCAACTCCATATAGCATCTCGTCCAACCACAACCCTTGTCTTAGAATCACCAGGCGATTGTTTGCTGCTAAGCACACACTGCCGTTGATACCACTGGCATATTCAATGCTCCTTCCCCAGTAGAGCGTCATTTGGTTGACAAACCCTATTTGACACATAAGCACGCAGTGTGAAATTGACTGGTACACTACCACCACCGTGTTGTCATCATTGATAGCCACACGTGGTACTGTTCCCGATCCGATTGCACTGGAAGAGCTCCACTGAATCGATTTCGCAGAAACCTCTCCGACTTTGTAGTCTATGTGCTTGTCGTCGGTCGCATGCACTTCGACTATTACCGTGTCGCTGTTGTTGACGGCTACCGACGCTTCGGTGCCGTTCGCGTACGTGTGTGGCTTTCCCCACTTGATGAAATCCCCGTCCACTCTACCGATGGTGTACTTGAGCTCGTGTGTGCACTGCGACCGATGAGTCTCCACAACCAGTCCGCTATCCTTCAGCGTAACGCTTGGAGAAACTCCGTAGTCGAAATGTCGCCCGGCTGACCAGAATATTTTCTGCGCTACGTCGTCCATTCGTCCTACCCAGTACCACATGGAGTTTCCCATCGAGGAGTTGTGCACGACTACGGCGACGTTACTGTTGTTGAGGCTGACGGAAGGATTCTTCCCGCCGTGGCGGTCCAAACGCTCCCTCTCCTGCATGTCGAGCTCGGGTTCCTGCGTTTTCAGACCATCACCGTCGTTTGCCGCTCTGAAACCACGCGTGGGAGAGCGCGACGATGCACTCCACTGGAGCGTTGATTCCTCCATGGAGTTACGAGTCTAAACACAAATATAGCTAGCTAGCTAGCTTGCAACTTGCAAGTCAGATACGCCCACAATTCCTTTCAGGGCCGGCCGGGCGTGTCTGCTGCAGAACACGCGCATGCGCAAAACAAAATCAGCGAGAGGGCGGGATCGATCTGGGAGCTGAAAAAGGCGTTGCAGCTACTACGGTTGAACTAGAAGACGAGATATGGACGGCTGGAAAGCGGTTCCTAACGAGGGCGCAGCATTGCCGTTGGCTGCTGGTGGGCCTGTCACGGATGCACGTCGCACTGTCCAAGGTTTGCAGTCTCTCAGTAGCTGGCATGTTCCACCCTGGTCCATGTATCACAGCAAACGTGTGTTCAGTCTGTAGCACACAACTTATGTACATATAGGGATTAGGAAAGCCTTTGAAACTGCTCACAGGCCACCTGCATCTAGTGGTTTACAATTTAAATTCTGCATAAAACATACGTAGAGTGTCTGAACAACATATCAAACCCATTTTGCTCTAGGGTCTGTATTTATGTTCCAGAGAAGACGAGTGCCCATCAACTGGAGACATTTTGGTCAGTGAATAGTATTGGCAGGGGTTTTATTTGGCACATTTGGTATTTTGATGTTTCCAAAGATAGGCAGATATTTATTTAGCGGTTATCTCGTAAATCTGCCCATCTGTGAATCAAATTCTGTGCCAATTTTTCATGCCCTACGATAGATTCACTACTTATACTACATACAATAGCACAGTGTACTATCTGCGCTCTTTGAAGTATAAGGGAACAACGTTTTGGCTGGAGGGGTTTGGTCAAATATTTTTTGCACACGAACTTTATCAGCCAAAGATATTGCTTACGTGGTCGAGGATAATAATTTAGCACATTTTTATGTTTATATGTGTTGTGTTGCAGCGGGGCTGGATGTGGATCGAGTTTGTAGAGAAATGGACGTGCAAGCTCTGCAACAGAACATTTCAAATGTCACCTTCTGTGACGTAGCATCTGAGGCAAGTAAACCACTATTAATTTTATGAATATGTGGGTTTATGCAAGAACTTTGTCTGTTACAGGATTTCCAAGGTGTGGACGGCAACTTTATCAAGCTGTTTCGATTAGCTCAACTCACTATCGAATACCTACTGGTAAGCAAAACTGGCAAACTCTAAAAACGTAGCTTATTTATTGTCTCTGTGTGACCCGTCCTTAGCATTCCCAGCAGTACCTGTCAGACCAGAAAAACCAGCTAGAGCAGCGAGTGCAGCAACTACAAACGGTATAGCTCAAAAGTCATGAACTGATTAATACTCAAGTTATGAATTAGTTAATCCGTCACGGTTTGGTTGTGCCTATATAGGAAAAGGAGATATGTGAAGGTGAAGCCAAAGCTAAAGTAGAAGAGATAAAGACACTGAAGAGAGAGAACCGAAAGCGAAGGAAGATGATCGAGGCCTACCAAGACATGCTGAACCATGGAGCTACTGGCCTACACCCTGTCAGTTCCAACACCAACTAATGTCCCACATGATAGATAATACTACATAGATACTAGAACCATTACGACACATTTTTGGCGAGAAAGCGCGAGAGAATCACACACGCAGCTTGACATGATTCCTAAAAGTAAAATCAGTTATGATTATGTAAAAGACAATAGTATGTGTGAGAGCGCCATCCGTCAATGTAAAAAAAATCATCCCTTGAGACGACAAAGTACGCTCGCTTTGCTTGCCAGTATGGCTGAAGGGTACAATGTTGATATGTTACGTCACCTTGTGAAATGAATGTTCCTGCACCCCAGAATATATTTTTAGCACACCAGTATATATACATTATTAAGTGTAGGTCTACTAATTATTATGGTGAGCATTAATCAAATTGCTCCCTCCTTCCATATATATATATATATATATAATATATGTACATACCTGTAAAACAGTGTCCAGTGTGCAGCAAGGAGTTTGTCAGTCAGCAGTACCTGGATTCCCACATACACAGACGCCACCCGGACCACTTACAGCCCATACCTCCACCCAAACAGTAAGTTTCAACTGACATTAATAATACCTTAGTACTTGTTACTAGACCGAATGGCAATGCATTTTTTGGCGAGTAAAATGAGCAGTTCAATTTTTCGCACGTCTCACGTATTTAGAATCACGTACAATATTACGGTGTATGTTCAGTGCGGGTCACAATATTATATAATCACACATTCAGAGGACTATATAGGTTGGCTCTACTCCCACTTATGTGGATTTTCATAGAACCCATACAATCCCTTACGAATACTGAAGCATTCACGAGAGCGCTCCAGAGAGTATGGCAACTGATACGACAAACAGTGTTTAAAAGCGTAATAAGGTAAAGTTAACGAACCGTGTTTCAGATTTAAGGCATACCCAGTATATACCAGGGAGTCATGTTGGACATAGACGAGGGGGGAGGTGCCATTGTATTCCAGGAATACTCACGACATAATCCTGGGACAATGGGAGGTACACCCAGGAATGGAAAGGAACCTTGGATATTCATGAAGTATACACAGGATAGTAGAGAATCCTGGGAGTTGAGGTGTACCCAGGATAGTAGGGAATCCTGGGATAAACCTTGGGATATTGAGGTATAGCTACCCAGGATAGTAGAGAATCCTGGGGCAATGGGAAGAAATCATGGGATATTCATGCATGAGGTACATATAATCAGGATATGTGGTGAGTTACCATGATATTCTGGGTTAGCTACCCAGAATACTAGATTGGACATGGGGGTTGGTGACTCAAAGTACACGAGGATTATAGGGGAAGGTGAGCTTTGTTCCCTGGATATATATACTAGGGAATCCAACCAGAATTTTGGGAAGTCTGGGATACTTGACTTACCTTGTTAGTTTTAAGACACTTAGACATTATCTTACCTTGAACTTACCTTGTTAGTTTTAAGACACTTAGACATTATCTTACCTTGAACTTACCTTGTTAGTTTTAAGACACTTAGACATTATATAACTTACCTTGAACTTACCTTGTTAGTTTTAAGACACAAGTAATACCCAGGATAGTATAGCCCTATTAACTCATAAGTACGATACCCAGGATAGTAGAGAATCCTAGGGCAATGGGGAGACTCATGGGTATTCATGAGGTACATATGTGGTGAGTTTCCATGATATTCTGGGTTAGCTACCCAGAATACTAGATTGGACATGTGGGTTGGTGACTCAAAGTACACGAGGATTCTAGGGAATCCTGGAATACTTATGTATAGGGGAAGGTGAGCTTTGTTCCCTGGATATACTAGGGAATCCAACCAGGATTTTGGGAAGTCTTTGTACTTGACTTAACCTAATGTTAGTTTTTAAGACACTTTGGCACACTTAGACATTATCTACCTACTGAACTTACCTTGTTGTTTTAAAAAACGTTTTGGGACACTTATACATTATATAACTCACCTTCAACTTACCTTAAAACATTTTGGAACACTTATACATTATATAACTTTACCTTGAACTTACCTTTTGGATTAATTAAACCTTTTTAACACTTATGACATTAATAACTTCCTTGAAACTTACTTGTTATGTGGGAAAAGAGGGGGGGGGTGGGGGGATTAGTGGGTTTTATTTAAGGTGTGCGGATGTTATTCTGTGGGTGTGGGGTTAAGTTTTTTGTGTGGTTTTGTGGGTTTTTTTCAAGTATTTAATGGGAGTTTTTTTAGTTTGTTGTTGTTTGTGGGGTGTTTTGGTTTTTGTATTTTTTTTCTTATTGTTTGTGGATTTTTTTTCATATTTATCAACTTATGCTTGGTTTTTTTTATATTTGTATTGGAGTTCTTCTTGGTTTTTCTTAACTTTTGTTGGTGTTTTTAATTGTAGTAAGTTTATTGTTTTGAGTTGTTGTCATTTTTTTGTTTTATTTTTGTAGATTTTTTCTTATTTATGTGTTTTTTTTTTTCTGATTTTCATTTGTTTTGTTATGTCTTTTTTTCTTTTATTTTATTTAAAAAATATGTTTTTTATATTTATATATTTTGTTTCTTATTTTCGCTCTGTCCTCCCAACCGCTCCCCCATTTATCCCTATTACCCATAATTACGATAAGACTAGTATAGGGATATAAGCACAGAGTATACCTGCACAGAGGCTACGACCAGACAGTCTATTCATGTATATATAAGTGCCCGAGGTCCCTACTCAGAAGGAATTGAAAAGACAAGCTTTATGGAAGCAAAGATGAAGAAAGTTTTCATGTGCACGCACCAACTAGAGAAGATCTCACTAAAAGGTATTACTGTCTATGGAATAAACTATTGGTCTAAGGCTCGGTAAACGAGTTGCAAGCCCCAGCAAAAACTTGTAGATGTTAATTATACCTTTACCCACAGTCATAGATGGTGGTCATCCCACTCCAGCTTGTTCGCACAGCCACCGGCACAAGAAAAAACTAGCTGCACTAGAACTCACGCAACTAGGTATTAATGCAAGCACTCTACCAACTGAGCTACCAGGGCAACTCAGCAGGTAGGGTTCAATCTACAACACACCACACACACAAACAAAACTCTTGTGCGATATGGCAAGACAGTATATTCTCACCTTAGATCACAGTGGCCCTAGTGTTTGATCAGCTCTGGCAGAAGAGTCGTCTGTGAATGTGTGTACACTCGTCCTTTAGGCGAATGAAAGCTTACAGAGTCAGGCTCTGGAGTTTGATGCAGTGGAAAGCAGACCCAACAGGGAAACTGGAGAAAGGTATACTCTAAATTGTCTTAGATCCAACCCTAAAAAGCGAGAAAGGCGTCTTTATAGGAAATCTAGACGCCATTGCTACAATGCCTCTTTCCTCTAGCTAGCTTGGCTGTGCCCCTTTGTAAAAGGATAGGGCGAACGTTGCAGTCAATTTGCCCAATACCAATTGCGATGACTGCGAAACAGTATCTACTAGCCAAAATGAAAGGATCCTCAATGCGCCCCGCCCCTACAGCTTGAGGGGGTCGTCAATTGTCTTTATTCGGTGTCAATATTATCTTCTTTGTGTAGTAGAAGCGTGACGTAAAGAAGTGTAGAGTTTAAAGAGGGGAAACGCTTCAGCTTCTGGCTATACACGAAAACAGAGATTTGCTTTCATAAGAACTGGACGAATGCCGACTCATTGGGCTTTGATCAGCTGAAGAGCAGTGTAGTCAATAAAAGGATGCAAGGGCTGCGCAAAGTAAGTACTTGCGCGGCAAGCGAAATTCTGCGATAAACTCCTAACTGGGGATGGAACAATAGGAGCTTAATTGGACATACATACGGTAGTACTTGGTATTATAGGGATGGGCATTTACCAGATGCGTAATGAGCGCTACGTATCTACCATTTGGAGTGGCACGGTGAGCATCACTATTCACACGTGTACCAATGCATCTGGATTTACGTACCCAGATAAAAAGGCTGATAACTTTACTTCTAAGCTCTTTGGTGGGCTATGGATACGAAAACAATTGCATTATTTTGCTCCACTTATTGCAGTCCTATCTAAAAACAAAGGGTCAGCTTTTGTCACCTATAATACAGGTGCGACGATTTGCTGGTAAATATATGTCTAGTAATCCTATTATACAATGCGAAATGAAGCAATGACAAAAACTGACGCGGTCGTGACCCGCAATCTTAAAAGAATGCCATGAGAACCGAGTGGCAGTCAGAAATGATAGTGAAAAGAGGCCTACGCGTGAGACTGCTGATTCTACTGCCTGTGCACTGATGTAAAGGTCCTGGAGACCAGTGAGATTGGAAACACATCCGACCAGTAAGACAGATGTTCTGTTATGCAGCAGTCGAGGAATAGATGGTATGAAATCATGCCGTCGTCTACGCATGACTCAAACACTAAGTGGACTCACTTTGTCTCGGCAATTATGTTGTAGGTCTGTCGAAGTGTCCGAAACAAGAAAAGTGTGCACAGGCAAATGGAAGAGATAACAAGTCCTATCAAGACCACAGCTTTCTAGGTCTTACACTTGCAAAGTTTAGAGCGTGAAAATATGGTCGATTTATAAGCTGTCGCAAGAAACTGCTAGTATGAGCAAGTGCTAAGGCACAGCATTTCCCTACGGAAAGAGGATGGGGAAAGAACTTAAGCCGAAACACGCAACAGATGCATAACTCCAGCCCAAACCGTACCACCCAGCACCGACTCAATGGTATAAGACGCACGTACATATACATGGGAAATATAAACGGAATACTCATTTATGTATCCACTTATCATCTTAAGTATCGGTTCTCGGAAGAAGAAGAAGATATGAATAGGAGGAAGAGAGTAGGAGAGTGGAAGAGAAGGAGCAGGGAGGAGACGACTCGCCACACTTCACCTCCTTTCCCATAGTAGCACACATTACCGAGTGAGTTGTGTGCTCAGTGACTATCAAAACCAGCTAGTGTTTTGGTGTTACCGCAGCCTGGAGTCGACTTATGTATATGCCCTCGAGTGCTCACAGCTTTCCCCAGTATATATCAGCTGTGTTCATTGGCTGTCTTATATGTCTGTACCTTTATTGTACGGGATCCACCACTCCTCTAGATAGCGAGTCCTCACAGCTAATCTAGCTGGTTTCTAACGCCCTTCAGTTGAGTTTCCTCTGTTATATTTAAATTAAGTCTATACTTGCTCTGCTTCCCTCTAACCCTCTGCCATGATGGTCTC